ATTAGATAATCAAAGGTATTGTATTTTGCATCCTGAATTTTTTCCAGTACACCAGAGTTGCTGTATCTCTGTGTCATAGTGCTTACTACGCATAAATGGGGTACAGCTATATGGCTAATTCTGAACTTACAATTAAAATACACAAATATTTTAACAGTTAAAGATTTATGGGGGTTAATAAAATATTTGGGAAGATTTCTTTTCCTCAGTTTTCAAGGTTAGAATTTCATTTGGTACAAAAGCAAGTCAATTCTATAGACCACTGATGTTTCTCTTCTTTTAAACAAGGTTTGAAAAAAAATTCGTTAAGCTTTTTAGATGAAGAATTTTCTGTCATGTAATGCCTTCCAAAACTCATACTGAACATAACTAATTTTATATCAATTATTCAGTCAACATTGTGCGCATAACATATATGGTATACTTTCACGACTAGTGTGGTTCACATAGCTCCTAGCACCAAAACTCAGTGGCTACAAACTACTGCAATTTTGTAGTTTTTAATACCCATATTGTTGTTATTGTTTCCATTGTTTAGTAGTTTGTCTACACCCTCCGCCTGCGTCAGGCTGTCACTTCTAGACTTGCCTTGGCAGCTGCTTTCAATTATAGTTTGGGGAAAGAGAGAACCAAACTTGTTAAGACTATTTCCAGAGTAAAACTAATTTCATGTCATCCATGTTGGTTATCAGAGGATAACATTTTGGGCTTAATATTTTTTGTTGTATTTTGGATACGTCAAATTACCAGCAAAGGAAATTCGAGATCAGAGAGACATTAATTGTATGGTATATTACAAAGCACTGATGAAATTGAAAGTAAACTATATAGAGGAATAAAAACAAGAGTGGTAGTTATGCTGAACAAAAGGCTAGAGGAACTTTCCAAGCTCCTGTGTTTAGCCATATGAACATTTGCAGAGTTTTGCCCTGAAGTGTCACATGTGTGATTACACGCTACAAGCGTTTCAGTATGTGAATGCATACACAGAGGGTGTCAGTAGCATAAATGTAAGTTGTCTTAGTAGTAAAGCATTTACAAACATAGATTAAAATGGGATCATACTGCCCCAGTTTGGTGAAACCACACTGGAAGGCAACAGTGGATCATGTGATCATGGCAACTGCAGTGTGGATTAAGTAGATATTCTAAGTAAATGACTTGTCCCCAGTGCCTGGGAAAAGTGAATGAACTTTAATAAGTCATTGGAAATTTTAAAATATTACTAAAACGAAAGACTCTGGAGGCAAGTTTTGAAACAGAGATTATCTGATTAAATATTTACTGGACAGATCAGGGATGGGGCGTAATAACTCCAAGAGCCTGGCACCGTGTTTGAAGGCACTTTAATCAGAAACACCTGAGCTAGTAGGGCACGTGGCAGACGTCTGGTTCCTATGCCATGCTACAATATTCTGATACTAAAACTCTTCTTACAAATAAACATTCCCATTATTTGAACATGTAGCTATATA